TAGAATCAACAGTTTTAGTATATTCATCAGATATAGTAATCTTGTGCTACATGATTATATGAAATATTAGTTATGCTTAGATTAGTAAGAGTATCTATGAAAGCATTAAAATGCCAAATATATCATCATATCTTTCTTGTATTATTAATAAACTTGTTACAAATTCTACAGAAAAAGTAGCATACAAATAGAAGCTACTTTTCACCAGTATTTGTGAAGGGTTAGATGAAAGATATAGCTCATCAAAAACCTTTAATCTTATATCTTTTCCTTTTATAATTATGTAAAATTCATCAAAAAAATATATGAGAGCTTTGCAATAGAAAGGAAGGAAACTCTAAAAAAATTAAAATTTTACTTTATAAGCTAATTATAATTTTTTAGTAAAATAAGTTTAGATTTAATATTAACTCAAAAAAAAATTTTTTTAGAGTTTTATCCCTTTCTATTGCAAAGCTCCCATATTACCGATTTCTTTTTTCTATTTATAATTATATAAAATATCAGTTACTATTTTTATTACTTCAGAAAAAAATAAAATAGAAGATAAGGATATTAATGACTGAGGTGAAAGTAAAGGTGAAAGTGGAACCTGAGACGAAGGTTGAGGTTATTTTAAAATAGGTATTATACTTGCTTGAGAATATTATTATAGTCAGTTCTTTAGGGTCATTTAAAGGTTAAACACGTTGTAAGGTAAGTAAAAGGTAAAAGGTTTATAAGATTATATAGTTTGAGTTAAAAGAGTCGATTGTTTATTCAATATATCTCTAATAAATGAGTACTGCCTCTTTCTGTACTGTACAAATGTTATATATTAAACTAAACTAAAGACGATACTTTAAAACCTACAATAAAAGTTGTAGAAAACCTATTGTTCACTATCCTAAAACTTAAGGTATATTTATATAAAAATAACTACATAAAGTATTTGAAGATATATAAGTAATATAAATAATATAATAACTATAATAACTATAATATAATATAAATAAGAAATATAAAAAATATAAATATTATAAGACTAAAGATGGGAACTATAATTAATATGTTGCAACTTTTAATGTTGCAACTTACGTTGCAATTAGTTTTAACCTATATATGTTGCAACTTATAATGTTGCAACATATGTTGCAACTAATTTTAGCTTATATTGCAACATTTTGTAAATTTGAAATCAATTGCTATACCATCTTTATATAAGACATAGAAATCATATATGATCTTTAGTCACTGCAGTTATATACGTCACTGAGTCATCCATGTCTTCTTGATGTAACAATATTGTTAGAATTCAGCTGATTTTATTATTACAATTTAATTATAACAATTTAAGCATATTGTATTACCTAAATAAATATAAACTAATAATATATGGTTAGCTTGACTTTTGATAAACAAACTAATTACCTTTCTCTAATTAGTTAACTATCTTTAATATATAGTAATTATACATGATTTAGTGAAGTAATAGGCATAGTTTGTCTTTTAAGTAAAGTTCTCTGGATTTTGATCTTTTTGATTTTTTTTGTATAGAGACTTTTAAAGTTATTTCAGAACTAAAATAAAATTTTAACTTATTTTATTAAATAGATTATCTAATTTTGAAAAGTACTTTAAATTGTATAAATTCATTAAATAGGATCAATCAATCATATGAATATCCACCTATAAGAAGTAGAGACCAGTGTTGATTTCTGGTAGGATACTGCAATTCAATTTAATAATTGAATATTTAATTTGAAAATTAAATCAAATACAAATTCAAATTTATATTTAATTTGATTTGATTAAATTCAAATCAAGTATTCAATATTTGATTTGATTTAAATCAATAGTACAGCTATCTGCAAAGTTTCAGAGGTGGTACTTACTAAGAAAACTATAGTAAAAAATGACTCTATAATTTTAGAAATGCCTTTTTTACTAAGAAAACCATAGTAAAAAGTGTCTTCATGACTTTGGAAATGCTTTTTGACTAAAAAAAAAATGCCTTTGCGATTTTAGAGATATTATTTTATTAAAAAAACATAGTAAAATGCTTCTATAGCTTCAGAAACGTTATTTTACTAAGAAAATATAGTAAAAATGCTTTTACAACTTTGAAAACATTATTTTACTAAGAAAATATAGTAAAAAACGCCTTTGCAGTTTTAAAGATATTTTTTTACTAAGAAACCTAGTAAAAAACGTGTTTGTGACTTCAAAAATATTATTTTACTAATAAAATAGTTATGAAGCTAAATTGGCAAGTATTACTAAGTTTTCTTAGTAAATTGAAGCTGCAATAGCAGTTATTACTAAGTTTTCTTAATAAACTGAAGCTACAATGGTGGTTATTATTAAGATTTTTAGTAAAACTGAGACTGCAAAGTTATTTAATAGTAAAAATTCATCTGTTACTAAACCTACTTTGTAAAAGTTATCTTTGAAATTTTTTAGTGCAATTACTAATAATTTTTTTAATTAAAACTTTAGAATAAGTTTATTTTGTAAAAATTAAAAAATTATTATATATTTGATTCAATTTGATTCAATTTGATTTGATTTGATAAATATTTGATTCAATTAGATTTGATTTGATCAAATTCAAATCGATTCAAATTGATTTAATCAAATATTTGAGTTCAATTTGATTAGATTTGATTTGATTTGAAAAAATCAAATCAAATTCAAATTGCTTAAATATTTGATTTGATTCAATTTTGAGGAACTCTAATTTCTGAGTTATTTGATAAAATAGATATGATGGTTATCTGCTAGTTTATCATTTAAGCAAATCTTATGGTAAAATCTAATGAACTTTACAATATTAATTGAATAATTAATTTTTAAATAAGGGATTATTAAATTTGATAACCTAGATTTAATCTGATTGATGATCTATTTTTTATTTTTTTAGTATCAGATGATGATAAATAATAGCATAGATAGAGAATATTAGGATTTTAATCAGGTATTATAAAGATATTAATAGGGTTATTCTTATTAATATCAATTTATTAACATTTAACTTTTAATCAGATTATCCTTAAATTATCAATAGGAATATTCTTATTATTTTTTTTTTATATTTCTATTAAATCAATCCAGTTTAGTTTGATTTTTTCAGTTCAGATTGTAAAAAGTTAATCTGAAAAATTTTAGATAGATTCAGATTTTTTTCAGATTATAATTCAATTTGAACTGAAAAAATCTGAACTAAATAGATTTAATTTGAAAATTTCAGATTAATCTAAAGTTTTAGTTAATAATAAATGCTTTTGAATTTAGGGTATTTTTATTAGGAAAATAACTGATAAAATCACATCTGAATTGTCAGAAATGAATTTAAAAATCTAATAAAGTCAAACCCAAATTGTCAAAGGTATTTTTTATTAGAAAAAAATACTAATAAAGTAATCTCTGATAGTTTGAGTGTAATATTTATTATAAAAAAAGTCATACTGAATTGTTAGTGCTAGAAAAAATAATAATAACAATCACATTTGAACTGTTATAGATAAATTTATTATAAAAAATAATAATAAATGTTATACCTGAACTGTCAGAGGTGATTTTTATTAAAAAAATAATAATAAAGTCATTTTTAACAGTTTGAATAACTTTTATTATTATTTTTATAATATTCACCTCTGATATTTCAAATGCAACTTTTTTTTAATAAAGCTGCATTTGAATTATTAGAAATGACTTTTATTTATAATAAAAGTTGCCTGACAATTTAAATCAACTTTATTAACATATTTTATAATAAAAGTTACTTTTGATACTTTAGGTGTAACTTTTTTAATAAAGTCATATCTGAATTATTAGAGACACATTTATTATTGTATCTGAACTGTTAGAAGTGAATTTTATTAAAAAAATGCTAATAAAAGTCGCATCCAAACTGTCAAAGAGATTTTATTAGTATTAGATTAATCCAGTTCAGATTGGATTATATAAAGGCTTCAGATCAGTTCAGTTCAGATTGACATTTTTCATTTATAATCCAAATTGAACTGAAAATCCCAGATCGGATTAGATCGGCCTCTAATCTGTACTGAACTAGGATTTTTAAAGTTTTAGTTTTTATTGAATTCTTGTAGCAATTATGATAGAATTTGTTTATTTTTGTTAAAGGATTTGTATGAAGAATGATGATTGTAAAGAAAATCAGTCGATCTTTAGTTAGTAGTAGTATGTTTGGAAAGAGCATTTTTTGCTGCTTTTGGTTAAATGTATCCCAAATAGAGTTGAGATCAGTTTGAGTATAAGTTTGTGAATTAAAATCAATAGATCTTAAGGAAGGATCTTGTAAAATTAAATTTTCTAATTTGGCTGAAAATTTATTCCATGTTTCTTTGGAAGTTTGATCATACAAAAATTTGGTTTTGATAATTTTTCCTGCTTAAGGAAGGCATTGAATCGAAATAGCATTTTATTTATATTGATATTTCTATTTTTTATTATTTAGTAGAAATCGAAATGATGTTCAAATTGATAACTTGATGCCTGTTCCGTAAAATCAGAGGTTCTACTTATTTTATCACATCATTTATATTTTCTCAATGCTTGTTCTTGAGAGATTTGTTGTACTTTGAGGGTTGAATTGAAATTTAATAACTATATCCTTCATCTTGAAGATACTTTGCATAAAAATTCGTATTGATCTTTTATATTTTGAAGCATGATCTTCACAATAAAACTACGCGATTTAAAATTTTTAAGCTCATCATGTGAATCACATAAGATTGTAATATTTTACGAAAGCAATTTTCTTCGTCGTCATTATTACAAGATCGTTGTCAGTAATATAATATAAATAATTTGTAAGATTTTTCCATTATTTCTATGGATTTCAATATTTATTGTTAAAGATAAAATATAAATTCATTTTTTTTTTAAAAAAAGAAAATATCATATTTAATTGGAAAAAAAACCCCCACATAAAAATAAGTTACGTTCGTCATAATTTGAGTCGTATGTATTGAATATCCCTTTGGGCAACATTTTCATTACTCTTGATCCGTCATGTCTAGATCTTCATAATTGTCTTCATTATTTGTCATTTCGGCATCAGAATCAACATATTCATAAGTATTCACCGAATCAATTGATAAATTTGAATTTTCACCTCCAGAATAAAACCTTTTGACTTTATTTCCAAGGGACTTGGTTGCATTAAATATTTTTTCACTAACACCTTGTTTTTTAATGTGACATGCGTAAACCTTTGCGGGTGTGTAAACCTTATAACCATCCGGTTTAAAAATTAGTGGAAATGAACAAACCTCAACAACCATATCATCAATATCATCATCATCATCCCAACTACTCTTCATGGTAGATTTATTGATCTTTTCGTTATTTTCATACCAACGATATTGAGCCATTGGTTCTTGAATTTTTAAACGAAAATAAAAAATTCTAACGACATCTCGAATCAAATCTTCCGCCAGAGAATTGACATATCTTCTCTTTTCGACATCCTTAATTACACGAAATTTATTCATCATCTTATTGATTTTTTTTGAGATAATGTGAATAAAGTTATGCTTAGAATTCTTAGAAATTCCATTCGAATAAACGATATCATTAAATCCTCGAGTACCAAGCGCGGAGTAGACTTGCTGACGCAGCTTTATCGGCGTATGACGTGTCACTCTATCATCACCGAGACGGTTATTATAGAAATTTTCCATTAAATCTGTTAATTCAACAGTTTTCGAGACAATCTCCGATTCTAGGTAATGCTCCTTATTGGAGCGAGTAAAATAGAAATCAGCCTGTTCAAATATCACTTCGAGTACATGACGTTGTAAGGCGGCCTTAATAACTGGCTTGTTTGGTTTCTTTTCGGAAATTTCTGTTTGACATTTATATTTATGTAAGATTTTTTTCGCTTCTTTTATATTAACATCTATATTAGGTTTCAAATTCGTAACGTAATTTTCTAAAGTATCGTGTAAACTTAAAATATCTTGGTTAAGTCGAACCGAGTGATTTTGATCATCATCACTTAAATTAAAGGACGTTGCAACTCCAAGAGCAGATTGATAATTTGATGCCTCTTTTTCTAATTCACCATTCCTTTTTTCCAATGATCGAATTTGAGATCTCTCATCCTTTAATTTTTGCTCTAATTCATTGCAACGTGATTCAAAGTATTTTTTATTTTGATCGAATTGTTGTTCCAATTTCTTATACTTGGAATTCTTTTCGTCTATAAGTTTTTGTATTTCGGCATTTTGTTCATGTTTTCTTTGTATTTCTAATTTGTATGTGATATCGAATTCTTTAGAATCAACAAAATTATTTGTTGCCATTCGAGTTCTATTGAATTTGAATAATTATTATTATTCAAGGTTTGTGTAGATTAATTAGAACTAAGGGGGGAATTTATTTTTTTTTAAAAAAAATAGACTTTTTAAGTCGGTTACACCAATCAATTAAGTTGTTGTATAACGAATCACATTCATGCAACCATGCAACCATACTAAAAAGGGGAAAAAAAGTTCTCTATAAATCAACAATAACATCCAATTAATAATGATGAGATAATCCCACTAATAATGGGGTTATTTTATTGCTCCTATTATTTTTGTTTTTCCGAAAATCGGGATTTGCGCTACATTATAATGTGGCGCAGATGCTTCGCGAATTTGTGATTAAAGAATTTTTAAAGATTATATATAAGAAAAAGATATGTCATTTGTGCTTTGGAATTCTCGAATTGAATAGATTCAAGATAAAATAACGCGAAATTCCATTGGAGGGTAGTGTGAATAAAAGAAAATAATTACACGAGAACATCATCATTATCAAAATCTTTTCGTGACGATAGATCAAAAAGTTTTTTTTCGTTTCATCAATATGAAAATAAAAATTACGAGAATTATAAATTTAATGGTTTTAAAGAAATTCTAAACTTACTATTAAATCGAACCAACCAGTTTTACAATATTCAAAATATTATAATTTACGTTTACGCTTGAAAAGCTTAAATTGCGCCAGCTCCAAATGTTATTTATATTAAAAAATAATCACCATGTGAGATTGGCACATGCTAACGCGCGTAAATTTTTGAGGGGTTGCACAGCCAGGATTGAAACGGTGACATAATTTTATTTGCCTTTTCGAAAATGTACGTGAGAATTTTTTATAATTTTTATGTAATTTTTACACGGACTTTAAGATCACATTCAAAACAAACCTAAATTGGGAAACAAAAAAGAAATATATATATATATATATTTCAACCTACATAATATAAAAAAGAATTTTTTTTTTTTTTTTTTTTTTTTGGTTCTCAAACAATGACTAACAAAGCTTTGCGTGTAATCGCTGCCATAGGTATGTTTACTATGATGAATATTTAAGTGGTCATATTTAATGATATACTAAAAGATAGTTCTTTTTTTTACTTTTCATTTTTTACAAGATTTTGGGACCACCTTTTCGGTAAGATATAAATCATTCCCTATCAAAAAAATATTTTTTAAAAATTTCTTTGCTTATTAAACTTTCTGCAATTAATAATGATACAAGGGTTTCGCTTATGCTCATATATCGAGTAAAGAAATAGTCGTGCACGAGGAATGGGATGATTCAATTGGACAATTTAAACATCCTACAACGTTAAAATACGACGATTCATTGAATTTGATATCTTGGGGATATCCCGCATTAGCTGAAAAACCAAGCAAGAAAAAGATATCTTCAGGAATGAGACCTGCGGAAAGATTCAAGTTATGTTTAGGCGAAATAGGAGAAGATATTACATTTGCTCCTTATCTACCAGTTGGTCTAGATTATGAAACGGCTATTACAGATTATATTAAAAAAATGAGCAATCTAATAAAAGATACTTTAAAAACTCGTTGGTCAGAAGTCGATTTTGATACTCAAGTTTCGATTATTATGACGGTATTAAATATTTTCTTGATTTTTATTTTGTTAATTTCAGCCAATTTACGTTTGATCGTTTACAATGATTTTACAGATTCCGGCTGAATTCGATTGTAAAGCTATTCGTACTTTGCGTGAATGTGCGTTAAAAGCCGAACTAGTTAAAGATAAGGACACTCCGAATTTAAAATTTATACAAGAACGTAAGTGTGAAACTTCTTTGATTTGTACTCCAACACGTGACTTATATACAAATTCATAAATACATTTTAATCACATTCTTATAAAACATTTTATGATTTTGTAATTAGCCGAAGCTGCCGCGATTCACTGTATGAAGAGCCTAAAAGAATTTAATGTCCGTGCTGGTTGTAAGTGTACACACGTTGAGTACTATATATTTCGATTTATTTATTCGCGATGGTTTTTTTTCTATTTCTAGCAACATTTATGGTGGTAGATTGTGGCGGTGGTACCGTGGATTTGACAACTCGGAAACTCTTGCCGGGTAGAAGGCTTTGTGAAAAAACGATAAGCAAAGGCGGCTATTGTGGCGGGATTTTTGTTGATGAAGAGTTCATTAAGTTTCTTGGGACCAAAATCGGTCAATCGACCATTAATTTAATCAGAGAGAAGCATTATAGCCAATTACAATATATGGTACAAGAATTCTCTAGACGTGTCAAAATTCCGTTCACGGGAGAAAGCAAAGATTTTAAACCATTTGATTTGGATTTGGAAGGTAACCATAATAAAATGTCTTGATTATTATGGATTTTTAATACTAATTGTTTTTATATTATATTATAAACAAGAAATTTGTCCAGTGGTAAAGCAATATATAAGGGGTTCCCATCGCGACGAATTGGAAGAAAAGGAATGGGTGGTTGAACTGAAATTTGAAGACGTTAAAAAAATGTTTGATCCGGTGGTAGAAAAGATTTTAGGTTTAATTCGTCAACAGCTTGACGAATACAATGATTATGTTTCGGCTATATTATTGGTCGGTGGATTCAGCGAGTCTAAATATTTGCAGGCCAGAGTCAAACAAGAATTCAAGCAAAGGGTGAAGAACATATCTGTACCTAGGAATCCAATAACAGCAATTGTTAAAGGAGGTAAATTTTGAATTCACAGTTTATTTTTATTTTATATTTTATATACATACTGTATTTTACTAAAAATTCCTTTAATTATTAAATAGCCGTTCAATATGGATTGAAGAATGACGTCATTGTTACTCGTGTATTGAAATGGACTTATGGTAATTAGAATGTCGCGTACTTTGAAATTTCCAATTTGATACATTTTATTAATAATTTTATTAACAACTCTTATTTTATCGACACTAGGAACTGACGTTGTCCGCAAATGGGAACCAGATGATCCACCAAATCAGAGACTTCCCGGTGATCTTCTTATCGAATTTTCAATATTGGCAAAACGTGGAGATGAGGTGGCTGTTGATGATGCAGTTCCCAGAGTATTCCGTCCAGCTTCTATCTTACAAAGTAGAATAGGTTTCGATATATTTATTACTGACAAGGACGACGACGTAAAATTTTTTGATACACATGATATCAACTTGCTTGGTAAATGGGCTATTGATATACCCGTAACATTTAGTATAAGACCTATTTTATTTATCTTATGCTTTGGTGAACTTGAAATTGATGCTTCTGCTTTTAATTTTGAAACCGGTGAAACTTATAATACGACATTTGAATTAGATATCTAAAGAAAGTAAGAAGGAAGAATCATAGTATCTAGCATAGCATTTTATACATGAATTGTGTTGTATATTCACTTAATTTTATAAAATTATCATGTGATTAAAATCGTAAAAGCTTCAATTTTTTAACTACTCCCGCAAAAGAGCGAACTTACCAATTGAAGAATAAAACTTGGTTTATTGAGTGTTTAAAAGAAATGAACAAGCGTTATTTATAATCTCTTTAAAAAAAAAAGTGTTAAAATATACATATTAATATAATGTAAAAAAAAAAAATCAAAAATATCGAGGCATTTAAATGAATGATTCATTGAGTTTTATATGTCGTTTGTTCGATTCGTTTCCGCCTCTATCGTTCGTATCAATTCCGCCTCTTTTGTTGGTACTGCTTTTTTCGCTTGTAACATTTCCATCGCTTCCTTGTGTAAAATCTTCGTCTCTTTCAAATGTACGACTTCCACTTCCTTGATTATAACAATTTTCGTCCCTTTCAAATTTATGGTTTTCACCACTACCTTGTGTAAAATTTCTGTTTTTTTCACTTGTATGACTTCCACCTTTTCTTTGTGTACCATTTCCGTCTCTTTCAAATGTTTTATTTCCACCTATTCCTTGTGTATAATAATTTCCGTCTTTTTCACTTGTACGACTTCCATATCCTTGTGTGAAATTTCCGTCCTTTTCACTTTGATTTCCACTTCTTCCTTGTGCATAATTTCCGTCCTTTTCACTTGTATCATTACTTCTTCCTTGGGTATAATTTCCGTTCTTTTCACTTTGATTTCCACTTCCTCCTTGTGCATAATTTCCGTCTTTTTCACTTGTACGACTTCCATATCCTTGTGTGAAATTTCCGTCCTTTTCACTTTGATTTCCACTTCTTCCTTGTGTATAATTTCCGTCCTTTTCACTTGTATCATTACTTCTTCCTTGGGTATAATTTCCGGTCCTTTCAAATGTTTTATTTCCACTTCTTCCTTGTGCATAATTTTCGTCCTTTTCACTTTGATTTCCACTTCCTCCTTGTGTATAATTTCCGTCCTTTTCACTTTGATTTCCACTTCCTCCTTGTGCATAATTTACGTCTTTTTCACTTGTACGACTTCCATATCCTTGTGTGAAATTTCCGTCCTTTTCACTTTGATTTCCACTTCTTCCTTGTGCATAATTTCCGTCCTTTTCACTTGTATCATTACTTCTTCCTTGGGTATAATTTCCGTTCTTTTCACTTTGATTTCCACTTCCTCCTTGTGCATAATTTCCGTCTTTTTCACTTGTACGACTTCCATATCCTTGTGTGAAATTTCTGTCCTTTTCACTTTGATTTCCACTTCTTCCTTGTGCATAATTTCCGTCCTTTTCACTTGTATCACTACTTTTTCCTTGGGTATAATTTCCACCTATTCCTTGTTTATAATAATTTCCGTCACTTTCACTTGTATGAATTCCTCCAATATTTCCAACCCTTTCACTCGTATCATGCCCACTGCCGCCTTGTCTATAATTTCTATCACTTTCATTTGTATGATTTCTATCTCTTTCATTTATATTATTTCCACCTCCTTGTGCATAATTTTCTTTCCTTACAATTCTATGATTTCCGCTTCTTTCATTCATACCAATTTCGTCTTTTTCACTTGTATCTTTTCCACCTTTTTCGTTCGTATCATTCTCACCTTTTTCGTTTGTATATTTTCCTCCTCTTTTATCACTTTCATTTCTTTCACTTGTACAACTTTCTGGAGTTTGTTCCTTATAATCGGTATTAGAATAATAATTTGTGGTTTTCTCGGTGGATTTTTCATCTTTTAAATCATAATTTGTTTTCGTTCGGGGTAGAGTTGTGGATTGATCGGCGGAACTATCATTTGGTTTACCTGAAGATTTTGATTTCCCATCTGCGGAAAAAATACTCATAATCGAATTCTTTGTCTTATTTATAAAACTTGGTTTAGGAGCATGACATGCGAAAACTTTTGCGGGAGTAAATATTTGATATATTTTGTCTGGATTTATATTTTGCCCGATAAGCGGAAAAGTGCATAAATCAACAACCAAATCATCGATGTCATCGTCTTCACAACTTAATTTCATAGAAATTTTATTAACTTTATCGCCACAATTAAACCAATAATATTCAGCAATTGGTTCTTGTACTTTTAAACGAAAGTGAAAAATTCGAAAAATCTCTCTAATAAGAGTTTTAGCTAATCCATCAATATATTCTTTCTTTTTAGGATCTTTTACAACACGATATTTGTTCATTGAAACGTTAAGTTGTTCCGAGTACTTTTGGATAGATTGGTGTATAGATGAATGACCTGATTCAATTAAATCTCCAAGACCTCTCATCCCAAGAGCAGAATATATTAGTTGACGCAACTTTATAGTTGTGACTCTTGTTACTTCATCAGTTCCGTCACGAGTACTAGCAAACTTTTCCATTACTTTATGTAATTCACCTGTTTTTCTAACGATATCCGATTCAAGATATTGATAATCCATTGATATATCATCATTCGATTTATCAAAGTAATTGTCAACAAACTTCAAAATCCTTTCAAGCACATAACGTTGCAATACAGCTTTAATAAATAGTTTATCAGGTTTTTTCAAGTCGATCTTGGTTTGACATTTATAGCGTGGTACAAGTTTCGTCTTAATTTCTTCAATCTTAACGTCAACTTTTGATTTTACTAAATTTGTTACATAAACATCAATTTTGTCTTGTATTGATAAAATATCTTGGTTAAGTTGAACATTATGATTTTTATCATCATCGCTCATTCTAAAATTTGTTACAACTCCAAGAGCGGATTGATATTTTGCTGCTTCGTTTTCAAGTTCACCGTTTCTTTGTTTTAATGATTTAATTCGAGTTTCTTTATCATCTAAATGTTGTTTTAATTCATTATAACATTTTTCAAAATGTTCTTTTTGTTGATTTGATTCTATTAAAGCCTTACTTTGATCATCAAATAAGTGATGAAATCTTTGCAACTCTTGAAATTTATTATTGTATTTTTGTTGTAAGTCTTGCAAATGTACATCCTTATCATTGCATTTTTGTTGTAATCTTTGCAAATCAATATTGTAAATATTGTATTTTTGTTGGTATTTTTGTTGTAATTCTTGCAAATGTACATCCTTATCATTGCATTTTTGTTGTAAGTCTTGCAAATTTTTGGTTTGATTGTCGAATTTTTGTTGTAATCTTTGCAAATCAATATTGTATTTTTGCAAATGTACATCCTTATCATTGCATTTTTGTTGTAATCTTTGCAAATCAATATTGTAAATATTGTATTTTTGTT